CTCTCTCTCTCTCTCTCTGTGCTCTGTAACTTTGGGTTTCTTCCTCGTTTTAACACTTCGGAGTTGACCCTTTTTGCTTTGCCCTGTTTTTTCTTCTTTTTCTTTTTTTTTTTTATGGGGGGAGGAGGAGGAGGAAGAGGAGGAGGAAGCATCCCCAAGAACTCCATTCCACTAGATTGAATTGATCATATTGACTAAAAAAGTGTAGGGAGGTTATGACACGTGTCTCTTGCGGGGTCGCATGCGTTATTCATACCGCAGTGCGAATCTCTGAATGGCTCGTGCACTGTATTGCCGAACCCCCCCTCCCCCCCGACGTGTCTCTCTTGGCGATGCCTTCGTGGCGTCTGTGAATCTCGGGATCGCCGGCGGTGCTGGATAGTTACGGCTCCAGATCGCACGTTCTGATTCCGTAACGGGCGTTAGATTCTTGTAATAATGTGTCCGAGAGGATTGTTAGAGATGATCGCCCCTTCCCATCCCTGTTATTAATGAAACAAAATAAAACGGGTCTATGTAATTTCTTTTTAGGGATCGAAGCGGTTGCTGAAAAGAGCAAGTAATCTTTTATTGGTGGTACAATAAAGTTATCTTTAACTTAACAAATATAGCCCTTAAATATCTCCGAAATTTATCATACATATTAAGAGCGCGAATGATAAGTATTTTCTTTTCGAAAAATAATTTATCGCCACTATTTATGTTTCCTGAACGAGTTTCTGAGCAGAAAGTAGCATTTGACGACGACACACCGAAAATTTATTTGGTAGCATTAATGTAGAATTTGTACATTGGCGAGTGCCCCCGCGGTGGTGGCGAGGGGTGGAGGCGACGATCAAGCAACGGCTGGCAACGAGTGCGGGCAACGAGGGCAGTTTCTATTCCAAAAATAGAAAAAATATAAAATTTATACTTTTCATTTCTATTCAAAACCTATTTCCCAAGAATAGAAAAACAAAATGTCTATCATTTACGCCATATATGTTAACTTAATTAGAAAACCCATTTTATAGAATATTTTTCTTTTAAAATGATCGTTTGTATTACTTACAAAAATATTTTTATCGTTTATGAAAATATTTAAATATAAAATCATGCGGACAACAAAAACATCTTTTATTTGCTAATTTTCTCAAACAACATAATGAATCATTTTTATAAAAAATATTTTTCGAATAGTTCGGACAATAACTGTGCAAATCTTCCTCGTGCTGCACCAAATATTCTATCTTTATAGACACAACTGCCACTTTTTTTTTTTTCTGCAAACGCATCTGTTTGTGCTTAAAATAAAATAGTACAGAGGTAATGAACGAAAACATTTGTTAAATCCCACACATCATAGTTTTGTAAACGATGATATTGGTCACATCACAGTGTTGTCCGATGTGACAAAAAAAAATGTTGCAGAAGAGATTCGGTTCTGACATTATAATTAATACCCTTTCACTTTAATGATTATTTGAGCTTATAGCATTTGGTCGAGCAACATTGACCTTCGAGTTCATCTTCAAATCCATCCTAAATTCAGAGAATTACTCTACATATATCGATTTGAATGATTCGATATCATGTTACAGAATTTATCACTCGTTGTGTCGAATCATATAAATATCAATTGCATCATTTAAGGTACGTCTATTTTGTGAAAAATGGATGTTTTGAAAATCATTTTCCTTAAAATGTTTGTTTATGTTGCTTGCAAAAATAAATGAACTAAATGTATTTTCATCGTTCATGCAAATATTTTAAAATAAATCGTTGTTGATAATGAAAATATCTTCATTGACTGATAAGCGATATGAACGATTATTTTTAAGAAAATATTTTCTAAATCATTCATTTCCTACGAAATAAACTGAGCCTCAATATCAAATTTTTCTCGGGATCTCTCTCTAATATCTGAATTTAGATAATGATTATATAGATATCAATTGAGTCGTTTGCTATTATGTTAAACTCGTCTTGAATCCCTCCCCTCCCCTCCTCTCCCCTCCCCTCCCCTCCCCTCCCCTTGTTCTCTCTCTCATTTATGATTTCAAAGAATGGAAAGCCAAGTATCAATCAAATCATTCAACGTGACGTTAAATTCATATTTCTCTTTTGAAATTCAATAACGAGTACATAAACATCAGTTAAATGTTGAATGAATTCAATATAACGTGATAAAATTCATGTCTTTCTCACACCGAGTTTAGAAAACAGACATACAACTAGTACTTGGATGATTCGATATCATGTTAACTCATCTCAGAATCTCTCTCTGCCTCTCTACATAGCATATGGTCTCTCTCTCTCTCTTACTTGAATACTTCAGAATTAGGTAATTCAATGGGTCAAATTCATTCTCCCCCCTCTCTACCATGCACATGCTCCATCAGGTCACTGGCAGTTCAAGGGGTCAACTCCATCCTCTCTCTCTCTCTCTCTCGCACAGACATCTCCCTACATCTCCCTACATTTCCTTAATAAGATAATGGCACGAAAGCCTTAGCCAAGAAAAGATAATGGCGTGAAAGAGATTGCTGTGTGAAAGTGCAACAACCGAAGCAGCCAAAGAGATGCAGCCCGGAACCTGAACCCCATTCGCTGAACTTCGCTGATGCAAACCACGTTCCGGCCTCTCTTTTTATGGCCACAACAAAGCATGTCGCCCTAATGAGCGGACATCTCATGTGCACACTTCCTGGTTCTTCCATGCTCAACATCACCAGCTCGGAAACTTATAAAGCTAATCGCTTTCACCCCCAAGAACTTCTAACACATGTAAAGCCCAGCATGGCTCAGATCACCAAGCTGCCAAGAATCTAGTTCCTGTCCAATCCTTTTGTTTACTAGATTGAGATTTTTGGGGCTCCGCAGCCTCTTAAAATATGTCTGTCTCGGTGCTCAGAGGAAGGAAGGGTTCACTGAACCTATCTCCCAAGAACACACATGCATGCTTACGCCTCCTTGCCAAGAGAAGGGACACATGCTCGGCACTGCGATCTTGCAACACCATGCTCCAAAAGACTCTGAGTTGACCCAACATATAAAAACGTCGGAGCCAACCGCTCCCATGTTTTTTCAGACACGTTCCTGCGCTTCTTCTTTCTGTTTTAGGGTTTTGCTCCGTGGGACTTCTCCTGATGAATGGCCCCCCACCAGGAAGAGAAGAGTCCACGCGGACTTCTCACTCCACGCCATCTGTAAAAGAATATACACGCACGCATGAAGTCCAGTCATCGATTCGGTCGGTATTTCATTGCCTCCGGTCGCCGGACGACTACATTGAACTCGGGATCAAAGTTACGGTTGTTGTATTAACTGCATAAATTAAGAGCTTAAAGATTTGATAACCACGTAACTTTTGAAAGATTTGATTACACGCAAGTTATGAGATAGGCATTGATGGGATTACCTCATTTATTTAAGATAGTTGTTTAAACGAAACCGAAAGAGCAACGTGGCACTCGAACGCAACGCTCTGCCAGGAGTCAACGCACGAAACTTAGGATGGGCTCTCTGTACGAAGTGGGCCAAGGGCGTCCTGACAACGAAGGCGTTTGGTTCGTGTTCGGTAATTTTCCGATTTCGTGTTTTATTAGCTTCGACTAGAGATTCTCCAAGACAGACAAGTTTTTTTGACCAAGAAGTGAAGAAATGTATAATGCTTAAGTGTATAAGATTGATATACAGGAGGAGACCAATCACTTAAAAAAGAAAAGAGAAAACCCGAAGTGAAAATAGCACGACTCCCTTTTCTCCGATGCCGGCTTTCCTCCGTCTTCGGAGGCGTATTCGTCCCCCCTTCGGCCTCCTATTTTCTGGGATCTCCTTCGAAAATCGTATATCGATGAAGCGAACATTTCTTTCCGAGTTCTTGATGCCAGGAGGGTCTTTGGATATGTGCTTTATTGATTTCAAAGCATGATATTTAAAGTTTAGCATGTTTCAAAAGATTTCTTTTTTTTTTCTTTTTTGTTTCTGTTTAATCTAAGTCTCGTGACAAATACATTTTGACTTTTTTCTAATCCCGCAATACCTGAAATTTCGGCAATTCCCAGATGTCGACATGTAACTTCACATGTAAATTATATATATGTACATATTCTAAATTTGGATCATATTTTAAGTTTTGAGCAAGAAAACGATACTTTCTACTTTTCATAAGCGCAAACAGACAGCCCTTTAAAAGCGAGGAAATAATTTACAGAAATTAATAATGGACACTTAAGTTGGAACATGTACTTTAATTAGTAACCAAAAAAAGGCAAATAATTATGAAAGATGTAACGTATTACAATGTTTAATATGAGATGACAGATTACTTAAACTCAAAATTTATATCAAAACTCAAATCTAAGATACCTTAACTATGGTTAGCTACTATTTAAGTCCAAATCCAATCCACATTTAAGTTCATAGTCGGTCGAATAAATAAAAAAGATGTAGTCAAAGCAAAATTGCGATATTTTTTGTATGGATGGAGAAAGGAAGAGAGGTGGTAGCCAATGAGGTTGATCAGTAGAACAAAAGTCAACATTTGGCGTTGGCACCGGTTTAGGAACTGGACGTCCCTAGTTGAATATCACAAATTTCGCATAAAATGCTTTGGGAGAGCCATTTGCAATTGCCAAAGGCTCTGATTTGCAAGGTGTGTCATAAGTTTTCAGACAACCGACTCCATGTCAGTGCACCTAAATTAAGAAAAAAAAAAGTCGACCTCTAAGGAGTTTGAGGATTTCTCACATTATGACAATGTTAGGACAGTTTCCTGGATTGGGCGTGTGTGTAATTTTTTGAAAAAGCTCAGATCTGGATTGGGTGTTTTCTTGATGTTAACTCTGTCACGTGTGAGTTCGATCCTAGGCACAACCTAGTGCATTCCTTGTGTGAGAAGGCCAACTGCCGAAAACGAAACACTGTTTTGGCAGTTTCCTCTCGCGTTTTCGTATTTCGCTTTCATTGTCAGTTTCCTCTCCAATTTCTTCGTCAACTTGGTTTGCGCCTGCAGACCCTATATTCACGTTCAGTGTCTCTCTTCACGTAGAGAGAGAGAGAGAGAGAGGGAAGAGAGAAGAAGGAGACAACATGGGATTCATTAATAGCTTGCTGGAGATCGTCGGACTCGGCATCGGAGTCCCGCTCGGCCTCGTCGTGGGTTACTTCCTCTTCCTGCGTTTCGAGCCCAAAGATGTGAAGGTGAAATGCATCACCCGAATTCTCCTTTTTCTTGTTCTTTTTTGCTTTTGTTGGATTCGTCTCGCCACGTTCGATTTGACTTTTGTTTCAATGCCGGTGTTCTGGCGATTCGTGGTACTTGTTTAATCTGCAATTTGGGCCCCTGCGGTTTCAGGATCCTCTGTCGAGGCCGCTCCACGAGTTCGACACTCACTCTCTGCTAGATCTTTTGCCGGAGGTCCCTCTTTGGGTGAAGCATCCGGATTTCCACAGAGCAAGTCCTCAGTGACTCACAGCTTTGTTCTCAGTTACATTGTCACAATTTGCATGTGACATTGATAGAGATTCGGTTCGCCGAAGCTGATGGCCTCCTGGTTTTGATTGCAGGTTGATTGGTTGAACAGGTTCTTGAGATACATGTGGCCTTACCTAGATCAGGTGATTATATTTAAGTTCCAGAATTTGATTGATCGTGAGGATTTATAGGTATTTGATGTGTTCTAAAGCATCTCGTGATCCGAGATATTTGACGGTACTGCAGGCCATATGCAATTTGATAAGAAGCAGCGCACAGCCAATATTCGGGGAGTACGTCGGCTCATATCAGATAAAAGCGTTGGAGTTTGAAAAGCTGAGTCTTGGAACTCTGCCTCCGGCAATTCATGGTTCGTTCCTCTCCTTTAACTGAAAGGCCGCCTTCGACCATCAAGGTGTCCGATTCCTGTGATCGCACTCAATTGTCTTTCTGAATATAGGAAACCAATTAGGATGCCCAAAATATGATCAACTTCTGCTTGATAAACCATCTGAAGCCCTAGCTACCAGTTTAGAAAGAAAAATTAGACAAGATCAACACCGCATTAGCCTTTTGACCTTGAATTTTTTGTGAGATCGTCTTACTCTCGAATTTGTTTCTTATGCATATCAAATGGCAGGTGTTAAAGTGCACGAAACTAATGAAAATGAATTAGTGCTTGAACCTGCGATTAGATGGGCTGGAAACCCCAACATAATCTTGGTGCTGAAACTCTTGTTCCTACGGATACGGGTCCAGGTTAGATATACATTCAACGAATATTTTAGCAGTAACATCATATAGCAATGTATAATGCTGTCACGTCTAGATGCAGTCAAATTTTGCTCATTCAACTTTCGAAGCAAACAGTTGAGTAATGCAATACTTAATTGTTGGAAGGTGACATCTGAATCATGTGATTTAAAGGATTGACTTTGGAAAGCAAAGCTTAGCACAATGTTTACTTAGTCTCGTAGGTGAGTCAAGCCAAACCTTTTCTTAATGATTTTCATTGAACCGAAGAGAACTCTTCTAATAAATAAAAAACTTATCGAAAGTTAATCTGGTATAGGGGAAGAATGGGAAGATTGGAAGCACATGTATTGCTTTTGGTTGTTTTGTTAGATGGCCGACATGAAAGGTCGATCTTAGCCAGATGGGTAGCAAAATTCAGGAAAGAAATGGGCTGCCTAGGATAGGCATTGGAAATACAGTGTAGTCGGTATGCATAGTCTCTAACATTGTTGTGTTTTGCTCTTTCCCAGCTGTTGGATGTACAGATATCCGCAGTTCCTCGAATAGTTCTTAAACCTCTTGTGCCAACATTTCCTTGTTTCACAAGTATAACGGTTTCCTTGCTGGACAAAGTAAGCACATCCAAGACTCGAGTTCTGATGATCAGGCGTGTTCACAAAATTAATCAAAGTCATACATATGGATATGTCTTTGATGATATGTCTTTGATGAGCTTATGTTTTCATTATCCCACAGCCTCAGGTTGATTTTGGATTAAAACTTTTCAACGGGGATATGATGGCGATACCATTGTTATATCAATCTGTTCAGGTGCTCTCTTTATACACCTTGTGCATATGGATTGGTCCACGGAGTTGAACTCTTCATAATGAACTATTCTTTGAATTATTTATGTAATCATGTACCAGCTGAAAGTTGACTTTAGTGATAGAATAGTAGTATTTAGCGCGCAAGAAAGAAATTGAACTCTGAACACTCCAGACAATTTTAAATTTGACTTTGAAGTATAAATAATCACCAGAAGCCATATCGTGCATACACATGGTCTCTGAAATAATTTAAGCTAAGGAGAATGATCAAAGGAGTAAATGAACGTTGGTAGAGTAGCCACATGAAACTCTTATTTTTTCTATTTAGTCTTCTCTGAATCAGCAATTTCATCCATTACACCTGTTCATAACTGATTAACCAAAGAAATCAGGACAAAGACATGCAGAAAAACTTGTGCCAGTCATCTGTGTTCTCATCACGTTTTATTGCACCATAAAACACAGTTGATGAGATTGTAACATGTGAGATCTTGCAATGTTTCTGTCAATTTTAACTACTAGAGAGATTTATTTACAAGCAATGCTTACTTGCGTTTGTTTCTTGTCGATGATATCAGGAAATAATAAGAAAGCAAATAGCTAATCTGTACCTTTGGCCTCAGACACTGGAGATTCCAATTCTTGATGGTCCAGTGTAAGTGGTTTAGATTGCTGCTGTTTTTACGCAGTAGATGAAAGGTAGAAGATTACGTCTATATCTACCATATGGCCGAGTACTTTATTGTCTGAAAGAAGGATCACTTGTAGCTCGCCCCGAAATTGTTAGTAATGAAACACGAAACAAAATTATCTATTCTAAAGAAATAGAAAAAGATCAAATACACTAACCAAGACAGTCAAACTGTCTATGCAATTGAACAATGAGCAAGTGGCTGGGTAGGCGTGATGAACATCAAGAAAATGATAAAAAAAACTTTGCAGAGAGTTACTTCAGATATTTTATTGTCCGCGTATCTCGTGGTTCATTAAGAAATTTTAGGTAGCCTTCTCTTATCGCTAACATGGTAAAAATACGTGGTTGACACATTGTAAAAATTTGCGTGACTCGTGCGTTTTTTTCCCAAGTTCTCTAGTCTATATAGGTTAGTTTGACTGTTTCTTAAACCATGATTAATTTTATCAGCTGGAATGATCCTTGGCATCAAGACGCTTTCGCTCTGATATGTCTTAGTATCTTCCATTGTCCCTTACTAGAAGCGATTTATAAGACTACAACACCTATGAATGGGCATGTTTCTCCATTTAATTTGCATAGCACCGATTAATATTAAGTGTTTATGTCTGAATAATGTTGCAAACAGCGGGGCAATAAAGAAACCCGTGGGCATACTCCATGTGAAGGTGATACAAGCTCGCAAGCTCCTGAAGATGGATCTTTTAGGAACCTCGGATCCTTATGTTAAACTCAGCCTGAGCGGGGAGAAACTTCCTGCTAAAAGAACAACTGTGAAGATGAACAATCTGAATCCAGAGTGGAATGAAAGTTTCAACCTCACCGTGAAAGATCTTCAAAGCCAAGTACTTGAATTACATGTCTATGACTGGGAGAAGGTACAGATTTACCGCGTTCCTTTAATTCTCTGCACGAGTACACACATTATCGTCTTATCCTGTAGATGAAATGCATGCCTTCAAGCCATAGAATACCAAAGAAGATGATCATAGTGCCAACAGAGACAATATGTTAGCCATTTATCCATATTTAGGCTTAGTGTAGGCCAATAATTGTTCCTTCAGCAAGCACTCTTGGTGATTCGTTGTTGTTGCTGCAATGTGTCTTTCCATTGTACTGATTGCTGCTTTTGACAACAGTTCGGGACTCACGACAAGCTGGGGATGCAAGTGGTTCCGCTGACGTTGATCTCATCTCATGAGCCAAAAGAGTTCACTCTTAACCTGGTCAAGAACCAGAATCTCAATGACCCTCATAACAAGAAACCGAGAGGGCAACTAATGGTCGAGCTATCGTACCATCCTCTGAAGGAAGACAGCCACAGGCTCAGCGGACCCCTGGAACGACATGAGAGCCAGAGCAGCGAGAGTGAAGTTATCGAAAGGCCAAATGAGGAAGCCTCACAAAATTGTCAAGCCGGTCTGCTTCTGGTCACTGTACAAGGTGCAGAAGACGTGGATGGCATGCATCACACAAACCCTTATGCATTGGTTCTGTTCCGAGGAGAAGAAAAGAAAACCAAGGTGAGACTACTTCCTGGTTTTGTTCAATTTGAAAAGTTGGCGTGTCGACAAGTGCAGCATAATGCTAGACAGCAGACACACGAGATGGGTTCGTGAAATTGGTGGACAAAAAACACGCGACAATGATAGAATCTTGTTCCAGTTTCTGGCACCAGTTCGTTAGACATTCCTTGTATTACTTGTACTTGTCGGATCATAGTTCATGTCCTAGACAGCTGAACAATGATATGATGTCTCTGTCTGTACAGCTGGTGAAGAGAACCAGAGATCCATGTTGGAATGAAGAGTTTCAGTTCGTGCTGGAGGAAGCTCCCCTTAAGGAGGAGATTCGTATACAAGTCATGAGCAGAAGGACCAAGTTTTGTTTTCATTTCAAGGTTGGTCTGGTCTGGACAAACTTTATACGGGGGTTTAAATCATTGCTTCCTCTTGCTCTTAAGACTTACTGAATGTTGTCAATTGAATTGAAACTTACAAGACTCTCTCTATGTACGTATGGCTTTGGTGCAGGAATCATTGGGTTACGTCGACATAAACCTAAGCGACGTCGTCTTCAACGGACACATCAACGAGAAGTTCCATCTGATCAATTCGAGGAACGGAGTCGTGCACGTCGAAATCCGGTGGGAGATGACTTGAAGCACGTTGAAGCAGACGATTTGCGACGATGTTCGATTAATTTTTTCGGAGAATATACTTTGTTTGATCAATAGTTCTGTTTTTTCCCCCCATTTTATCATGTAGATTATTTCTCTTGGGTCAATACAGGTTCACGTATGTAAGTATCGCTTGTGAAGCACTGGGGATGATAACAAGAAAAAAGATAGTTGGCAAGACCAGATTTGTAAAGATGTAACGTTGGTAGTAAATATGAAATATCGATAGTAAGTGAAAAGTGAGAAGTGTTTTAAGTCGATGACGAGTTACCAATGAAATAACAATTTTACCTTTCGCAAATCTAATGATAGATTGTGACTTACTTTTAGATTTTACGAGCGGATTGGTTATTCTCTGTAAGTTACTAATGAAATGTCAATTTTACCATCCATAAACCCAAAAATGGATTATCACTATTTTTAGCATTTATAAGTGGGAAACTAAAGAATTTCATCATCCTGAAACCCGATAACGATTGCCATTCGTTTTTAGATTTTACAAGTGAGCGTGTATTTTCGCTTGTAATGTCTCAATGGAATGACATTTGTATCATCCACAACCCAGATTATCACTTGCTTTTAGATTTTATAAGTGGGCACGTATTTTCACGAGTAAGTTTGCCAATGAAATAACAATTTTACCATCCACGTACCCAATAGAAGATTGCCACTTGTTTTTAGGATTTACAAGTGGGCGCATAACTATTTCTAAATTACCAGTGAAATTTCAATTTTAACATCCACAAATCCGATAGTGTAATACCGTTTGTTTTTAGATTTTAGGAAAAATTATAAATAAGAACCTTGTTGACACCTATTTTTAATTTGCCCAAAATTAATTGCACAAAATTTAGGAGTTAATTTTATTTAATTCCTAAAACAAAAATATTTCTATTTAAATGCATTGCATATAGAAATTAGGTACATTTGCACTAATAGAGTCTATTATAGAGTTTAATTTTAAAAAAAAAAAAAATCGAGTCGTGCCGGGTCGGAGTTGGGCCGACCCGGCCCATTTCTTTTTTTTCCTTTTTTCCTTCGGGCCCGACCCCTTTTCCTTTTCTTTTTTTTCCCTTCGCACGGGCCCGGCCCGCTTTCCTTTTCTTCTTCTTTCCCCCACGCCGCTGCTGGGCCCGGCCCGGCCCAGCCTTCTTCCTTCCTTCCTTCCCCCTGCGCCGGTCGCTCTCTCCTCCCCTGTTCTCCCCTGTGCGCGACCGAAGCGTGACGCACGGCGGCGCCGCTCCTCATCGTCGTCATCTGGTCAGAGGAGGCCCAGGCGGGCACGCCACAGGGACTGGCCATTAAGGCCAGTCCCGTCTTCCCCATCTCCCAGGCTCTCTCTCCCTCTCTGCACCCTCTCTGCACCGGCCCCCCCCATCTGCTCTGCTCTGCACCGGCCTTCCATGGCCGCGAAAGTCGCGGGGCAGGTAGGCCGATGCAGGCCATCGTCACGCCGACGCGGCCGGGCCCAGACTCGTCGTCGTCGGCTATGAAAGACAGAAAGAGAGAGAGAGGGTCGGCCATTTTTAAAAAAATACAGAGAGAGCGTGAGAGCGTGAGCCGGGAGAGACAGGAAGCCTCCGGCAGCCACCGCGCCTCAGCCATCCATCCCCGTCGCCGAGCCGACGGCGGCGACACAGAGAGAGAGAGAGTGGGTCGGCGATTTTCAGAGAAAAACAGAGTGAGAGAGAGAAACCGAGAGAGACCGAGAGAGAATAGAGAGTGAAACAGAGAAGAGAGAGGGAGCCAAGAGTCCACCGGAGCTAAAGAAGAACCAGCAGCGGTCGTCGACGCCGCCAGACCTGCCGGAAGCCGCCCAGACGCGCCGTCGACCGGTGAGCCCCTCTCGGCCGCGAAGCTCCCCTGTTTTCCCCTAATTTTTGGCTCGGTTTGGCCGGGACTCGCGCCGGCCGTTTCGCGCGAATCCCGGCCCATATCGTCGTCGGTCCCGACTCCTAGTCGCCGTCGGAGGTGAACCCAAGCCGCTGGAGTCGACCGGATCGCCGGAGGAGGTCGGAATCCCCCGTTTTTCCACGCGCCCGCCAGGCGTTCGACGAAATGTCTCAACCACGCCGGTTTTTGTTTCATCGCCGGCCGGCGAACGGTGGTCCGACGGCGGCTCAAGTGAGTGGCACAGCCCACAGGCGGTCCTAGTCGGGCGACTTGGGGGCGGCGCTGGCCTGGGTCAGCCGGCGGACGGCCAATTTTGGCCTCGCCGGCGCCCCCCTCCCCACGGGTCTGTTTGTTCGGGTCGGATTCGACCCGAATCAACAGATCAGGACCCGGTCAACGCCCGGGTCGGATCCGTTGACTCGGGTCGGTTCCGACCGACCCGGATATCGATTCCGACCCGGGTCAACGCCGGGTCGGATCCGTTGACCGGGTCGATTCCGACCGACCCGGATTGACCGATCCGCCCGGGTCAACGCCCGGGTCGGATCCGTTGACCCGGGTCGGTTCCGACCGACCCGGATTGATCGATCCGACCCGGGTCAACGCCCGGGTCGGATCCGTTGACCCGGGTCGGATTCGACCCGACCCGGTTAATATTATATTAATATTTTATTTTATTTAAAAAATTAAAAATTAAAAATTTTTAAAAAAAATTTTTAAGAAAAAATTGTTTTTTTTCTTTTTTTTTTTCCTTCTTCTGTATTATTATTATTATTATTATTATTTTCTTCTGAAAAGAAAAAAAAATTTATTTAAATTTTTTTTTTATATATGTTATATCTAAGTGTTTTAATTTATTGTATTATTATGCATGTTTTTTGTCTTGTTTGAATTAGACAAGCTCGAGGTTCTTGCGGTAGTATTTTGCATGTTAATTTTTATTATCTCGTATTATTATGCATGTTTTTTAATACAATTGCATGAGTTGTTGTGTTTTGAATGTCATCGACTTAGTTAAGGTTAGAACCTTAGGTGCATGCATTGTTGTGTTCCTGACTGCTAATCGTTTCTGATTATGCACTCGCTTGATCACCTCACATGTTAGGAGAAAGGTTCTAAAATCAATCCAAATTGCCTGACAAATGCTTTCAGAAATGAACAAGGTAAAAAGGTACCGAAAGGGCATTAGTTATCCAATTAGTGTAACCAAGTCCCCGAATTCAGTTAATCTCTGGTTCGTAGGAATAGGGTGATTCTCCCATTACCCTATTTGGGTTTCTAATCGGCCCACCCCAAATCGATTAGTGGCGACTCCTTGGTATAAACCACTTGCATGTTAAATACTTAAACCCTAAGTCGCGATATGGTATGGGCTTGGGAGGGCCCGAGTTAAGTCCCGAACCTAGACTTAGCACGTACCGGGCGAGCCCCCCTTTTTTGCATGTTCGATAAAAGAGGGCTCGGGAGTTCGGTCGCGACAAACCTGAATTGCTCTCATTTTCTCAAATAAAAGGCATGAAGTGGACCATGTGTCAAATAAACCTGAAGTGGCCAAGGACCTAACCTCACCGGTCGTCGGCCAGCTAAATATTCCGGCCGCTTAAGGGCATTTCGTCCAAAGGCAATTTTAATTTTAAATTATTTTTTTGTTTTTTCTTTTCTTTTTTCTCATTCCTTTTTTTTTACCTTGGCATCGTCAGTGGTCGGCCATCAACAAAGAAGAAAGAAAAAACGAGAAAAAAAAGGAAAAAAGAAAGAAAAAATTAAAGAAAAGGCAAAGGATGAAAATGCTCTTGACCATCCGGAAAAGTCAGGCTTTTCTTTGAAATTGACATAGTCACTTCGAGCCCTTATTTGAAACAATATCCACTTCATAATCTTATTTGAGAAAATGAGGTCATTTTAAGCCTTATTTGATTTGACCAAAAAAAAAAAAGCCTTATTTGAAATATAGTCCACTTCATACTCTATTTTCTAAGTGATTTAAAAAGGACACATGTTTGGTTCTCAATTCCATAAAATTAGAATTGGTGAATTTCGGTCCGGTTCTTAGTTCTAAGGCTCCGTTTGGTTCAGCTTTGGGAAGGGGCTTTCGGCCTCGAAAGCCCCTTCCCAAAATGCTGAACCGTTTGGTTCGGCTTTCCGGACTCGGAAAGCCGAAAGCCAGCATTTGGAATGCCATTGGAATCTTTGAAAGCCCAAAGCTGTCCGGACTAGCTTTGGGCTTTCGGCATTTGTGGAATCTTTGAAGCCTATTTTTCCTTCCCAAATTGCCCTCACTCAAATTTCAATTTTCCGGTTTTGTCCTGTCACTGTTCATCTTCTTCACGTGGCTGGCGAGGGTGGCCGGTGAAGGGCTGGCGAGGGCGGATCTGGTCGGCCCCTCGCCGGGCCTTCGCCGGCCAGATCCGCCCTCGCCGGTCGCCCTCGCTGGTCGCCTCGCCGGTGAAGAAGATGAATAGTAATAAGGGTAAAACCGGAATATTAAGAATAAAAATTGCCAAAGCCCTTTGCAAAATTTTTTTTTACCAAACACTACTTAGGCCAAAGTAGCTTCACAAATTTTTTTTTACCAAACACCACTTGTATTTCCCCAAGTGGCTTTCACCCAAAGGTATTTGCATTCCCCCAAGTTCCATTTGAAAAGCCGAACCAAACGGGCCCTAAGTGTGGAACGGACCCCCCGGACTGGATTGATTTGTTTTTAAATTTTTAAATTGTTTTATTTCTTAAAAATATGTAAAAAAAAAACCTAATCTATCTCCCACTTGACAAAGGAAGGCCCTTCAAGGTTAGAGTGATTACATTTACTTAGGCACATGAGTAAGATGACAAGAACAAATCAAAACACAATAATAGCTGCTCATTCCAATCAAATTTTGCCACAAATTTGAAAAATCTCTATGAAACCTACAATGTTATACGCAATTCACTGATTGTAGAAACACATTAATTATCAAAAACATCTTCAATTTCATCTTGAACACTAACTAAAAATCCAAAAAAAAAAAAAAACCTGAATATGCCACCTGTTCCGTTGGCCCACCTGTGACTCGGTCCAGTGCCAAGAGGCACCAGTCCGGTTCGCGGTTTCAGAAACTGGGAATCGGTCTCTCTGGTCCGGTTCTCGGTTCCAGCCAGGAGCTGACAACCCCTAGTCCGAACTTCCTTACTGGGCTGAAAATATCCCCGACCCGATGCGTTCTGTCCGGGCCAGATATTTTCTCCGGGACCCAAGCCCGGCCCGGCCCGCGAACCCCGAACCTCCTGCCTCTGCCCATATCTTATCCTCTTGCTCTCCTCTTCCCCTTCTATAAAACGAAACGGTCGGTCGTTTCCTCCTCCCTCGTTGCCTCCTCCTCCTCCTCCTCCTTCTCCGCCCGAAAACCTTATCCCTTCCGAGCGTCCGAGCTTCCTCCCTCCCGCCACCGCCTCAGCCATGTCCACTCTCTCCTCCGCCGCCGCCGCCGCCGCCTCGACCCTCGTACTCCCTTCCTTCGCCCCCAGGGCGGCGGCCGCCGCCGCCCCCCGCTTCCTCGCCCTCAAGCCCGCCCCCGTCGCCCTCAGCCTCCACCACCTCAAGCCCCTCGCCGCCTCCCCTCCGCCGCTGTACTCGGCGGCTGCCGCCTCCTCCCGCTTCCTCCGCCGCGTCTTCGTGTCCTCCGACGTCGACCAGGAGGAAGGGGAAGGGGGCTTCCTGAGCGACGACGGGGGGCGCGCCTCCTTCTCCCCCGACCTCAAGCTCTTCGTGGGCAACCTCCCCTTCACCGTCGACAGCGCGCAGCTCGCAGGCTTGTTCGAGAGCGCCGGGAACGTCGAGATGGTCGAGGTAAGTTAGCCTCGTCGGATTTGGAGACAAACGATGACGTTTCTGGTCTTGGGTGTGCACTTCATTTCGAAGTTGAAGCGTGTTATTGAAACCTCTTCCCGTGGCAGGTGATTTATGATAAAGACACTGGGAGGAGCAGGGGTTTTGGGTTCGTGACCATGTCCACGGCGGAGGAAGTTGAAGCTGCTGCTCAGCAATTTAATGGCTATGTCGGTATTTGAGACCCGAGTCTTTATTTGCTGTTCTTTATGTTTTGCTGTTTAACCCGAAGTGAATGTTCTTCATGTTGAGGCTGTCCGTGTGTTGTGATGTTGTTTAAAATGCTTCTTTTTGTTTGATGTGATGTAATTGCGCCGGTACTTTTGAAGGATGTGCCTCCATAATGTGTTCGAATGGCTAAAAAGATCTTTCTAGGCATATTTAGGGGGTATTGTTTCACTTGCTGAGACAAGATATAGTTTCCATGACTCTTGCTTCAATTTACATCGTGATAGGTGGTTTCTTCGTGTCACAATTATACGTGGTGTTGTGTTATAGACTTATTGGCTGCTTCTAGAAGTCAATGTTTTAGTTGTAGTGCGGTTGAAATCTAATTTTGAGGAAGTTTGATAATTATCATGCAATTTTGAGAATGCTACTCTTACTTGACTATCCTCCATTGCCTAATTAAAGATCGAGCTATCTTATTGAATCTTACCAAGAAGCTATGGCATTGGGCAGGAACTCGATGGAAGGCCTTTGAGGGTTAATGCTGGACCGCCTCCCGCTAGGAGGGACGGCCCACCACCTAGAATGGGTAGAGGCGGAGGCGGGGGCATGGGCGGGGCAAATTCCTCTAACCGTGTCTATGTGGGCAACCTCTCATGGGGTGTCGATGATCTGGCACTTGAGACATTGTTCAGTGAGCAAGGTAGGGTTTTGGAAGCCAAGGTGGTGTATGACAGGGAGACGGGCCGGTCAAGGGGTTTTGGCTTTGTATCCTACGGTTCTGCTGATGAGGTTAACAACGCCATCGACTCCTTAAATGGCGTGGTAAGCATAATACGACTTTCTTGAAATGGACCCTGTAATTGAAGCGCGACATTCTTGTTATTGTGGTGATGGAATGTTCCTCCTAATTAGAATTCTTGTTTCTCTTGTCTTCTTTTAAAATCTTTCCATGGCGGGCTCTTTTTAAAGATAACATTCTTTTAAATTCATAGTGCTGTGTTGATGTGGATTTCGAGTGGTTGCATAATGTAATTTCTGTTCTATATGTTGAGTGATGTTACATAGTTATAGTTTCTGTAGAAGAAATTAACTAAGCAACACTGTTCTTTACTGGTATCTGGTGTATGCTCATTTACGTTTGTTTGCTCTGTTCTATCGACTTTTAACAGTTGACATCTTTAATCCGGTGATGGTTATGAAATTTTGTCACGCTATCTAAGATGAAATTTGCTTGTGTATGCCATGGTAAAGCTGACTGTGTGCCGACCTTCTGGCCAAATCGAACCTTCTGTCTTTTCCCTTGATTGCAAATTTATGTCTCTAACCATCATGCATCTACTATCACCACCTTTGTTGTTGACTGTTACGTTGTATTCAAGTTCACCTATAAATCTTCATTGATGCAGGACCTGAATGGAAGGTCAATTCGAGTCACCCACGCAGAAGCTAAGCCAAGGCGCCAGTTTTGAGCCTAGGTAATATGTTAAGAACATTAGATTACACTGTCGATGTGGCTATTGAACTATGGATATGGGGTCTGCAAATGTTGTTCTTTGTATAGAGGAGCGGGATTGTTGGATCTGTCACATTTTAAATGCTTCGCGTGAAAGTAGAGAACTCTGGATTCTAATCTTTTCAGGAGCCATGAAGTGCAAGTACTTTTCCTCATGGCCTGATGATCCGGAGTGGCATCACCGGAGTACAATACTACGCGGCTGGAAGCTGTAATGAAGGCTATCGCAGAAGAAATTGCAAGCCCTGCTCTGATCTCGATGGACCGCGTGATTTGGCCTTCTTGACCTCATAGTAGAGTTTTGAGAGACATGGGATGCCATACATTTGTGCTTTTGCGTTCTGGGATTTTATAGTTCCTTTTTAGAACATGATCAGTGTAATCTCTTTTGCTAGAATTATCGAGTTGTTTATATACTCTTTGAAGTATTATGTGATTTCGATTTCAGATTTGCAGGGAAATATGCATCAAGGATAGGTTTAGTCCTGTCAAAATGGGTGACTCATTTTTTGACTCATAGTGAGTTGTTATATAGGTTAGTTGTATTAAGTAAATAGGTCGTAAATGGGTTTAGAATGATTAAATTCAATATAATATGGGTGTTAAATGGGTCATAAAAGGATTATAATTTATTTAAGCTCAGTTTACCTCAATGATTCTTTTCATTTTTTCTCGTCGTCACTCTGAGCTCGTGCTCACTTACATATGGTAGTGTTTTATGAATATAGGTCGGGTCGGGTACGAGTTGATTATTAATTAAATGGGTATATTTGAGTCGGATTATTTTCGATTTGCCCGCTTGACGGGTCTAGATAGGTCCTGTCTACGGATTTTGAAGTAAAAAAATTTGCTGTATTTTTAAAAACTTGACTAGATTTCTTAGAATGTCAGAACAGATCAAAAGGGTATGCTGTGATCTTGTGGTAAGGAAAGAATGGTAGTTTTTTCTGTTTTTTTTTTGGGTCAGAAGGAAAGAAAGTTAGTTGACTCTGTGAAGCATGGTGAAGTGTGGGAATTTCTAGAGGTACGAGAAGATTGTTCTTGCGAATTTGACGGATTCAATTAACGCGGTCGTTCAAACTGATAGAAGTAGCTGGACTGCCTCAAGAGTCAAGATTACTATTTTCTATTGAGAAGATCAAAAACTCCACAATAAAGTTGTCGAAGTCATTTTAATAATATAAGAATTATTATAGACATAAATTATTTATGTCCGTTACATACTTGAGTCATGAAAATTTTCGAATGATGCATTTAATCCTAGAATTTGTCACCGAGTTAAACCTTTCATTAACTCAGTTAATTTTTTTATAAATTAAAAAACTATGCGACATTTATTTATTAATCGTATTTTTATATTTTCATTTTTCTTGAAACTTTTTAGTTTATTTCTTTATTTGTCAATTCATTTATTTTAGCAGGAAACAAACGACTTATTTTATATTAAGCAACGTCGTTTTGAAATTTGACAAGTTTTGTCGTCTTATTAACGACCACATGGATGGAAAAATTAATAAAAAAGTTACTTCAGACTTCTCTATCCATCCGAAGCCAATGGAAGGATTAATGTGGAGGACGGCTGCAAATTTTAAAACTTAAATATATGTAAATAAAGATTTTAGAACTTTTTTTTTTGGTCAGAAAAGATTTTAGAACTTGAGTGCCTGAATGATTTAAATTTTAAGTTTTAAAACTCCTGCTATACAAGTCCCCTTTCTTAATCAATGCAATTTGATTAGAACCTAATCAATTTACTAGCAAAAAATTAACTTAACGGCCACGTGACTTCAAAAATGGCTACTTCAGTCTCTCGCGGAATCTCTAGATCTCGCCTTGAGCTCCCTCACCAGCATCGTCAAACCCGCCCTGTTCAACTCCCTACGGTTTGTCTCCTTCGCCTCCAGCTTTGCCATCTCCACCTTTAGTCCGTAGTCCTCAATCAGCTTCATCGCATTGAAGACGATCCAGATGCCGGCAAAGACGAGCCTTGGATCGCCGAGGTTCGCTGATGGCGTTGTGGAGCAACTGTGGGAGGCAGTGGAAGTGACCAATCTAGTAGACGAGGTAGTAGTGGCTGATGTGGAGGCGAAGGGTGGCAGACACCGGATGCGAAGCTCGGGTGCCACTTGATGTCAAAGTTGATGATTTGGTGGCAGTGAGGGGCGGAGAAGAGTTGGACGGAGATCTACAAGTGTATGGCGCTAGGGCAGCAAGTGACGAGGACGGACATGCCTTTGTTGTGGACGGCGACCTCAAAGGACGTGGCACACTTGTAAGAGGTTTCGATTTCTTCGATAATAGTAGTCATGTGACGTATAACTTATCATTTTAACCTCAGCCGTTGGAACACGATCGGCATTGGTCGGAAGCAATGCAATCGAGCGATGGTCGAAATGATGAAGATCAGTTATCGTGATGGTGATCCTCACGCGATGGCTGAAGCAATATTCGGATGCGTTATTCCATTATTCTTTCATTGAAATAATAATAAATTTGTCAAATTATTTTTTTAACCAATCAGGATTTATCTTTATCCAGGCTTATCGAATTTGGAGGACATCGCCAAACACCGCAGGAGGAATTTTGTCAATGACTAGTGTCGGACTTAGCAAAATTTTATTTGGAATTTATCGAAATTTTGACGGGACTTAAATAGTCACCTTGAGAATAGTACCATGATTAAAATTGTGACAAAAAAACGAGGCACGAAGACCAAAGCAAACCTTTAAAAAAAAAAACAGGAATTTTAGTTTAGTTTTTCACATTTATATGTCTATATGATTCACTGTCATGAACCGCAGCAACCTGCTCAAAGGGATTTTGACTTGACCGACCTTCCGAGATCCCAAGAACGAGAGAATGGTCAAATACCCTTCTGAAATTTGACAATATTCACCACCTTGTCGGGTAGAACAACACAACCCTCATATATAATCATTAAGTATTTTACACCCTCTAATTTCAAAATCTTATTTATGCCCTCTAAAAATTCAAAACATCTTATTAATAAGCGCGCTCAAAACACCTGTTGAACATGTTTAACTACGAAGGCTTTGATTCTCATACGTTAATTCGGTGCAATAACTGATGTATCGATTCTTAAAATGTTAATTGTATAGTAAATAATGCAGTGCGCCGAAATTATGGACGTTGCTTATTTGATAGCTTAACAAGTGCCTAAAGACATTCGCTAACGAATTATAATTTTAGAACCTACGTTCTTCATAGAAAGTGGGGAAAATTTCAAATCAGTACCCAAAGTTGGGCCATTTTCTAAAAAAAGAGTCCAAAGTTGACATAGTACCAAATAAGGGCATGAAGTGCCCAATCAGTCTCAAATAGGGGACCAAAGTGCCCAATTAGTCTCAAGTAAGGGCCTGAGTTCGCCGGCCGGTCAAATGCTCACCGGCCGACAAGCACGTCACTGTTTCGGCGACCGAAAAAGGGTAATTTCGTCTTTTACTTTTTAAAAATTTTTTTTTGTTTCTTTTGACCTTTTTTGTTTTGTTCTTTTCCTTTTCCTTTTCTTCTTCTTTTTTTTTTCCTCTTTTCCCTCCGCCGGACATAGCTGGGGCCGGCGGAGGTTGCCGGCGAGGGCTGCCCTCGCCTAGGTTGGGCGGGCGAGGGCAACCCTCGGCCGACCCCTAGGTCGCCTTCGTCGGCGTCAGGCGAGGGCAGCCCTTGCCCGACGCCGGCGAGGGCAGCCTCCGCTTGAGGTCAGCAACCTCCGCCGGCCCCGGCGGAGGGAAAAGAGGAAAAAAAAAAAAGAAGAAGAAAAGGAAAAGGAAAAGGAAAAGGAAAAGAAAAAACCAAAAAAAGGAAAAAAGAAACAAAAAAAAGTAAAATACGAAATTACCCTTTTTCGGTCACCGGAACAGTGATGTGTTTGCCGACCGGCGAGCATTTGACCGGTCGGCGAACCAGGCCCTTACTTGAGACTAATTGGGCACTTCGGTCCCCTATTTGAGACTGATTGGGCACTTCATGCCCTTATTTGGTACTATGTCCACTTTGGACTCTTTTTTTAGAAAATGGCCCAACTTTGGGTACTGATTTGAAATTTTTCCTAGAAAGTGAGTGATGCAAAACACTTTGGAAAAAGAGCATAAATCTCACATACTTCTTTTACTACACGCTTGATTAAAAAATTTCTTCCTTTCCATATTAAAAACATCTCTCTCATTTTCTTATTGTAGGATGGAGCCTATGTTCAACATCTTTTTTCTTCCTTCATTTATTTCAATTTGCTTTCAGTTTCATTGGTTTTGGATAACCAATGTCGACAATATGTCAATAGATGTAGAGATTTAGTTCAAACACGTGCAAATATTATGACATGCAACTCTCGTGTAATTAACATTTCTTTGCATTTAATTTTCAGTTACAAACTCCCCTGTGACCTAAAAATTTGGAGGATTTAGTTTGACTGTTTTTGGATAATCGTGGAGGCAGGCAAAGTGGTGACTTGTCCCCCATGCGCAAAACATTGCGTACAGTGTTCAGTTCAGATGGTATCATAGACCGAACTGCATATTAGTAGATCGAGTTCAACGGTTACGATATCAATATTATAAGATCAAGGGATAAGATTTAGCATAAATTCCTAATCTTAACAAGGAAGAAGTACGAGAAACTTGCTCGGTAGATCGATCGTTCCATCAGAAGAACAATTCGTAACATCTCATGAAGATGGCCGCCCCTAGATTCTATCTAAAACTTTGGACGAGATCGTTTGGAGAATTATGGGCCTTCTGCTGTTCATTTCAAGCTGTTGATTCCACTGTATAGATCACCTGGTCGATGATGGAGCATGGAGAAACCAATGTTGGTGTCTTCACTTTTGTCGCTTTTGCTGTCTAGGTAGCTTGGAAATCTTACTGAGTGCGGATGCCATCAGCATACAAGGCTGAGAGAATACTGTGAAGAAAATAAGTTCCGTTGGACTTGCCAATGGTGCTTACAATGGACGGCAGTTTCACCTTTTTCACTTGGGAGTTCCGTTTCTTGTTTCCGTCTTCCGCTCTTCTCATCATTCCTCTCCTGCTTCTTGCTTCTGATAATACCACGCCATGTCCACGCCGTCCAGCCTTTTTGCACTGACATACTTTTGCAGTTTAATCGGCGCTCGAGCTTAGGTCTATCCGACTGCAGGTCTTAACACCACTTGGATTGCCGCCGCATCTGCTGTCGATTATATCCCTTTCTCTTCAGCTGACGGTAGCGTGATCCCCGTTCTTCTGTGGAGGCACAATGGCTTGACATTCGCCTGCGGCTTCTATAGCCAAGCCTATTCGGAAGCATACTATTTCGCAGTTTTCATTGTTCAAGTGGACCCGCAGTCTGTCGTCAACGACAGCGTGCCTCCAGCGGTGGTGTGGTCTGCTAATCGAAACCGTCCTGTTGGAACCCGGGCCACCCTGGAGCTCACAGAAGAAGGAGATTTGGTATT